GTACAAATTAATTTCCATTCGCTGCTAAACAACAAAAGTTATGAATTAGCGTGAGATATTGTTGAAATGCCCAGTCCAATCTCATGAGGAAGCGTAATGTAACTATTTTACATTTTGAACGTTTGATTTTTTTTTTTTTTAAAGGAGGCATGGCACCAAACCCCACCGCTAAACCAAACGCAAATCATACTGAATTGTACGAATGAGAGTGTACAAAGTCATACGAATAAGACGCTTAATCAAAAATTGCCATTAAATAGCGTTGGAATGCCCAGCCTGACCCAACGAGGAAGCGTAACTTTTTTTTTTGCCAGTTTAGTGACTAAGTTATACGAATTCACACGAGTGCAATCGTACAAATATGTATGATTTGTAAAGGAGGCGTGGCACCCGATCCCACCCCTAAACCCAACCTTCATTGGGGGATGAGCAAATCATACTAAATCGTACAAATTTATACAAATTAGGTGCTAAATCAAAAAGTTACAAACTGATGTGAGATATCGTTGAAATGCCCGACCTGATCTCATGAGGAAAGTAACTATTTTACGTTTTGTTTAATGGATAATTCCTATGAATCTAGTGATTCAATCAGACGAAAATGTACGATTTTTTTTTTAAGAGGAGGCGTGGCTCCAAACCCCGTCTCTAAACCAAACCGCCATTGGTGTATAAGCAAATGGTCCTAAATTGTACGAATGTGATCGTATGAATTCATACGAATTTGCCGCTAAATAAATAAGTTACGAATTGCCGTGAGATAGCATTGGCTGTAATCTGACCCTTAGAGACTGGTGGAAAGATGAGTAGGAAAAATGTTTTTGGAGCCGCTCCAATAATACATTTAATATGCAAATTACCTTCACGTCATGTTTTGGTCGGCTTAATATCTGTCCGTTTGTTCTTTCAGCTTTTATACCAGTGGACCTGAGTGACCTTAAGAAGAGGAACACACAAGACTCCAAGAAGTCTTAGACTGTTCGCTCCCTTTCTGATCCACAAGTGTTTATTTTGTTTATTTTTTGTCCTCCATTTTACATTCGGGACCTTTTTACTCTATCAGTCTTCTATCGACCAACAAAAATCCACACAAGCCGGGGATATTTGCCCACCTTCAGTCCAGAAAGTTCATTCTTCTCTGCTCATGGACCTGCGTCTGGACTTACAGGCTGCCGCCTATTTATGCTTTACGTTTTCCAGAGCCGTTTGAGCCATTTTTCATATTCATCCAGGCTCTGACTTTTTTTTTTTTTTTTTTTGCGCTTCGGGTTTATAATAATTATGTGCATTTTTTCAGTGTCGAGATGACAAACGAGAAAAGCAAAGAACAGTTGAGGTGCTTAAACTGCTGTTGGACAGACTCTACACAGACTTTCTCAAAAAAACGGGATGCAGTTCTGGATTTTTCCAAAACACGCTCGTCATCCGCCGCGGGGTTCAAGTTAGTTTTATAGATGCGTAGATGAGTTAGCGAGGTTTTGTCTGATAGCACAGGTAAGTTCGACTCAGCAAACTTTTTTTAGTAGATGTACCTCCATTTTTAACTATGAATTGATACACCTTCGATATCTTTAAGTAGACTTTTCCACGTTTATTTTTTTTTTTCGTTCCCAGCCCTTAAGAATAAAATTTAAATAAAGATTACTTTTATGTTATCTAAGCCTCTCTGTTTTGTTTTTCTAATGCTTTAAACATCATAAAATTGAACAGTTATGCATTTAAAGGGATAGTTCACACAAAATTACAAATTTTGTTGTCATTTAATGCTGATTTATACTTCTGCGTCAAACGTTGACGCATAGCCCTTCGCCGTGGCCGTCAGCGTGACTGACGTGCCCCTCTCAAAAAATGTAACTACACGTCACAACGACGCGTATCACAAGCTCTGTGATTGGTCGGCTTGGTAGCGCTGACGAGTCTGGGCGGGACCGAGAGCTGCACGAATGGCGCGAGCCCAATGGAGCGATTGTTTACAAGTGTGGAGCCCCGTGAAGGAGCTCCGGATGGAAAGTTTTGTTTTGTCTTTACCTCATAGTTAAAGTTGTTGCACGTCCGCCGGTTCCTGCCTCAAAATGAGCGAGTTTGAGCCACTTGTACATCCCGGAAGTGTTCAGGAAAAGCAAAACATCAGCGAAGAAAGTCGACACAGAGGAACATTAACACCTCACTGCCAACTAGCGTTTCGGAAGTGTTAATGCAGACCAACAGAGACAGCGCGCAGAAGTATAACTGCACAGCTACGCGCGTTGCATGCGCCGTGGGTTACGCCAGTCACTTGACGCAGAAGTATAAACCAGGCTTTACTCATTTGAAAGATATATTGAGGAATGCTTGAAAAAGCAGCCATTGACTTTCATTGTATTTCTTGTTCTTATTATGGAAGTCAACATTTTCACCATTCTTCAAAGTATCTTCTTTTGTGTTCAACAGAAAAAAAATACACCTGTAATGGTTGGGAACGCTTGAAAATGAGTAAATAGTGAATAAATGTTCATTTTTGGGTGGCTATCTCTTTAAGCAGTTTAGTAGATGGATGCATTTAGTACAATTTATGTCTTGGCAAACAATGAATGGCAAGCATCAAAATCATGGTTCAGTCATTTGATATGAATGAAAGATATATGAAATAATAATGTTTAAACTAAAGCTTTCGCATTTGCCATCCGCATTTAAACTCGACATGATCTACATTTTGGAAACCCTCAATATGGTCCGTTTTTATTGGTTAATGCTGTGAAAGATGCACTTTAGGTAAGCTCATGACATAATGATCCCATTCTCACTACTCTGTAGATCAGTGGTTCTCAAACTTTTTTCATCAAGGACCACCTCAGAAAACAGTTGTCTCTCCAAGTACCACCATACAGAGCAGTATTGAAGTACAGTAGCATAGTTGGCCCAGTAAAGCAGCTACAGGTTTGCACAGTTCAAAAATGTGGCAGATTAATTCCTACTATTAAGAATATTTATTATTGTCAGTCACAATGTTCACAATAGTCTGAACATTAACACTGTACTGGGCTTATTTGTAAAAAAGAAAAAAAAAACTAAAAAACTTCAGCATTTAAATCAAAATGTTCGTTTAAAAGTTAAAAATAGTAGGTTACTGTTCTTAATTTGTTTTTGTTTTAAATCCTGTACTTAAAGGTAAAGAACACCTGGAAATGTTGTCTGGATCTCAGAAATATAGGCTATATGTCATCATATATTTAAATAAAAAACCCTTTTGGATATATTTTGAAATATATGTAGCATGTACATATGACATATTTGATTCCTCCACGTACCACTAGAAGGAAGCCCGTAGATAATACCACTCCACAAGACGTAAATCTTTCTCAGAAGCTCTTATTAAACATTATACTTATGCTACATGTCTTTTCATAAATTTGTACATGGTGGGTACCTATTTAAAATATGCAGACAATATGCAGGTTTAGGTCAGGGCTGTGGGCAGCCATTTTAATGTTTTCAGCTTCGATGAACTGCTTTCATTAAATGTAATTAAAATATTCTTGTTTATGTTCTTTTGTTTGTTTGTTTTGCCAAAGGATATCACTAGTCCCTCACACTGCGATCTTGATAATCTTTTCTTCAGTCTCTTCCACAGTTTTATTCAGGTTTAGGTCAGGGCTGTGTGCAGCCATTTTAATGTTTTCAGCTGCAATGAACTGCCTCCATTAAATGTAATTTAGATATTCTTGTTTTTGTTTCTTTGTTTGTTTGTTTGTTTTGCCACAGGATATCACTAGTCCCTCACACTGTGATCTTGGTGATGTTTTCTTAATTCTCGACCACAGAGTTTCATTCAGGTTTAGGTCAGGGCTGTGGGCTGCTATTTTAATGATTTCATCTTGGATGAACTGCTTCGATTTATGTTATTTTAATATTCTTGTGTTCATTATTTGGTTTGTTTGCCACAGGACATTAATAGTCCCTCACACTGTGATCTTAATAATCTTTTCTTCAGTCCCTTCCATAGAGTTTCATTCAGGTTTAGGTAAGGACTGAGAGCTACCATTACAATGTTTTCAGCATCGATTAACTGCTTTGATTAAATGTTATTGAAATATTCTTGTTTTTGTTTGTTTGTTTGTTTGTTTTGCAACAATACATCAGCAGTCCCTCATACTGATTGGTTATTAACATTCATGAGTTTCTTCTGTTGAACATAATGATAGTTTAAAGAAAGCTGAAAACCTGTAACCATCGACATCCATAGTAGATTTCCAGCTTTCCTCAAAATATCTTTTGTGTTCAAACAAAAACTCAAAGAAAACGTTGAATCAAGTGGAGAAGACTCAATGATTCATTCATTCATTTTTTTGTCAGCTTAGTCCCTTTATTAATCCAGGGTCGCCGCAGCAGAATGAACCGCCAACTTATCCAGCACGCAGCGGATGCCCTTCCAGCCGCGACCCATCTCTGGGAAAGGACTCAATGATGACAATTTTAATTTTGAGTGAACTATCCCTTTAACAAGGGCTGTTCCCATTCATCGAATCTTTAGTTTTAGCTTACCGCTAGCTAGCATGTTTGAATTTTGAATAAAGAAGGTTAATAGGAGATAATGTCCATGTAAACATGAGACAACCTAAATATACCATTTTAGAAAGAACATATGCAAAAATTTACTTCACTGCCCAATATCTCTAATTTGAAGGCTGGTTTAAAAAAGTTTTTTGAAACTCTTAAAGGACTTTTAAATCGAAAAGCAACCAAAACTGCACTCCATACATACATATACTTCAAAAACTAAACCCTCTCTCGTTTTCATTTCTTTGTAGTTGAATTTTATTTACATATCTTATTTCTCTTCCATAATGTGAATAACTTGATTGTAATATTTGATATGCTTTCGATTGTAAAATCTTCAGCATATATAATTAAAAAAAAATTATAACTTCGCTCATTTCGGTCATTTCAACCGGAAGTTGTCGACTCTCCAAACCTACGTCATCAGCTTGCCGCTATAAACTTGGCTCCGGCGGCACTGCGTTGTTTCCTCTCGTGCGAGTGAGCGGTAGTGCAGGGACAGTGTAGTACTTCATCCGTGCTGATTTAGTGTTTTAGCTAACTGCAGTGTTTAGCGTTAACAAAGGCCAGACAATGGCAGACAAGATGGATATGTCCTTAGACGACATCATCAAGCAAAACAGACAGCGCGGGGGTGGAGGCGGCCGCGGAGGGAGAGGAGGCCGCGGGGGGCGCGGAGCCACAACCGGCGGCGGCCGCGGAGGAGGTGGCGGCGCCAGCGGACGGCTCGGAAATACAGGCGGAGGATTTGGAGGCCGCGGCGGGGGTTCGGGCCCCATGAGGAACCGCCAGAACCTGAGCCGCGGAAGAAGCAGACCGACACCGTACAGCAGGGTAGGAGAAAGCGGAGAAAATCATGGGCGCATCCACATGCCTGGGTGAAGTCCCGTTTTTTGTCTTTCTAGGCTGCCAGCAAACATGGCGGCTAGCTCGCTGTTCATGCCCCTGGAGCTCTCCTCCGGGAGTGTAGATCGGGCAAGCTCGGTAGATATATATTGTGCTTAATCTGTTCTCTCCCTAAGCCCATTGTCTCGCCATGATCTCCAAACATCCCCGGGCGGCTTTGTGGATCTCCGGTCCCGCGACGCCATTTTGGAGATGCTCCCATTCAGCGTAACCTTACGCTTTCTTTGTTTTCGACACCATCCAACGCTCTCGTCTCTTCACGTGGTCTACTTTGGCTGTTGAGAAGATCCTCTCAACCTGTATGTGTTTTTGTGCTTTTCAACCACTTTTGGTCCTCGCTGGAGTCTGGCTTTTGTTTGGGAGGGGTTTTCATGGTCGAATATCCTTGAAAGCAGAAAGATAGTTGCGTAATGTCGGAGCCAAAGAGGATTAACAGACTTTTTCCCACATCTTTGTCCTCCACTGAAGGTGAAATGCGATGAAAGTGAAGATTCTCCTCTTCTAATAATTAATCTGAGCTTAGTGAGGGCTTTATTTATATAAGCGCGTCAAAATGGCGTGGCTTCAAAATGGACGCTCCAAAGAGGCTTCAGATGCCGACCAGCCATGGACATTTTTTGATCGCCTTGCGTTATTTTTGGACTTTAATGAGCTCCTCTTCGACGGGGAACCCGAGGAACGTCAAGATTCAGCCATGGAGGCCTGCTGGAGTCGTGTGGAGTGAACGGCAAGAGACTCTTGGGTTGATAGTGGCCTGTTCACTGGCTGCGAGGAGGGAGGGAGAGCACTGGGGGATTCTGCTGTTAGCAGCAATAGCACACAACGCATTCACTCCCTAAAACATGCTGTTTTAAATGTTTAGGCCTTTAAATTAACCCTCTGGTTTTACAACTTTTTTTCCAAAGTCAATTTTAGGGTTGCACGGTTTACCGGTACTGTGGAAGTATCACGATACTATCGCTCCAAAATAATGGCGGTGCCATTGTAGTTTGTAAACGCTAGTATCGTCATTAACGGTCTATCTACAATACATGTTGCATGTGGAAAACTCACTAAAATGCTCACCATTTTAAGTCCGTAGAGCCCATTAAGGTTACACGTTTTCAGACGTTTTAAACGCACACCTAAATCAGTTCATTTCTGTTCTTGAAAATAAACCACATGAAATTTTGAATTACTTTATCTGATAAAAGTGGGGAAAAAATAGATGAAAACCCCAGAATAGCAACAAGAAACATTGAAAAACTTTTGACCACCTCGTATAGCCTAATTTTGTTGGAAAAATGCTTTTTATACATATATATATATATATATATATATATATATATATATATATATATATATATATATTTATTTATATTTGTATTTGTTTGGTATAATCTTTGTATTTTTGTTGGTCAGTTTTCTACAAAAATTATGAACAAATTTTAGGTGAAGCGCAAATAATACTTTTCAACAATAAGGGAATTCTGAATTAAATTTAAGTAGGCCTATTATAACATGTAAAATTTAGTGTTTCCAACTATTTTCTTTGTAATTTGAGTTATGAATTACAGTATCGTAATACTACTTGGTATCGTGATACTTCAGCTGGTATAGTACCGTAAGATGAACTAATGGTATTGCGACAACACCGGTCACTTTATTTAAAACAACGAATTATGCTATGCTTAAGCTTCAGTGATGCCATTTTGTATTTTGTGGGGTTTATTGTGCACCATGTTCACCTCAAACGTAACCATATAACAGCAACTTGGTAAATAATTAATTGGCAAAAACCAACGTACAGCTAACACTAAGTAGAGCTGCGTGTTTACGTTGTTTTTTCTTTTGTCTTTTAGACCAGTTAACATTCCAGTTTTGCTTTTAAAATTTATGTATGTAATTTTATTTTTTTTTTTACAATTTTGATGTTTATTTGGACTTTTCCGCTTAATTAAAACAAGCATTAAGCCCCATCCCCTCACATTACTTTTGTCTGTAGAATCTGTGACACATTTTGCAATTTATTTTTGTTTTTAAACCTGGTTTTATTATTTCCTTTAACTTTTGTGGTGG